GGGCTGGGGGTGCCTGGCTCTGTGGGGGGGGGGCCCTGGGTTAGAACAGGGGTCTGGGGTTACTTATAATTTTTTAAAGGGGTACTTTATTTTTTTAAAAAAAAGATTGAGAAATCCTGCCCTAGTGGGCATAGACCCTTCTCCCTGGAGCTCTGCCATGTCCCCTCTGCTCTGCCCCTCGGCCTGTTTCTTCCCCACACCGGCTCCTCATGACAGTCCCATCCCCCATCTCAGCCTCCTCTGCCCAGACGGTGCCAGTTCTCCCGTCTTACCACCAACCTCCACTGCTCCCTCCCTGCCCCCCACTCCGGGCGCCTCATCCAATCTCCAGCTCTTTTCTGTGCTCCACCCCCTCCCTGTCCCTGTCTTTTGGCCCAGAGGGTCCAGCTCTCTCCCTGCTCCCTCTCCCCATCAGATGGTTCTCCCCCCAGTCCCCAATCCATGCCCAATCCCCAGCTGCCTACCCTGACAATCTTAGTTTCTCCCCGAAGATGTCTAGTCCCAATCTGCATCCCATGCCACTCTGCTCTGGCTCTTGTCTCCTCTGATGCAAGCCAGACACTTTCCTTCTCCAGGCTGCCCGTGCGCATGTGGCGGATCCATCTCCTGCTCTCACATCCACCTGATCCCAGCCCAGTCTGCAGCAGCCAAGCACAGGGACTGAAGGGCTGGAATGTGCTCAGTCCACACAGAACCTTGGCAGAACTGATTTTAGACACTCCAGCAAGTCTACTGTGCACATGCAAAGAGACTTTTGAATGGCTCTTAACTTCGCCAGATCTGGACGCACATTCTTAGAACAGCACAGGCACAGCTCTGACCCGAAGGCCATCGATCCACCTGCCAGATTTCTAGTCCCTTCTCTAAAGAATGGGGCACTAAAGTTTCTCAACCAGAGCAAACAGAATATAGCACAATAATGTATTTTCCATAGCCTTGTTCTCAGAAATAGCTACACCATTTTGGCTAAAAATTTCCAAAAACAGCACAGCCTGAAGCAGATACTGACATGGAAAGTTTCAGCCCAAATGGTTAAAATGTGGCTAAGCTATAGCCATTTGAAAACAAGGTCTTATACTGGGAAGTGTCAGGCAACCTTGATGATTAGGTTTATTATTTGTATTGTCGTAACATAGTGGGCTCCAACCTTTTTACACCGAAGATCACTTTTTAAATCTCAGAACAGGCGAAGATCTACCGCCCCGCCCCTTCCTTGAAGCCCCGCCCTCTCTATTCTCCTCCTGTCCATCACTTGCTATCCCCAGCCCTTACTTACACACTCTGATAAACAGTTTATTTTTAAATTATGCGATACATACGATTAAAATCACGTGTTTATAGTTATGAAATAAATGGTCTGGTTTTTATTC